CAGTTTTCTTTTCTTTATATTTCATTTAAACACTTTATAAAGTTGCAATAGTCATTTAGATTTAAGGTAATTGTAGAGAGTTTCCACATTTTGTAATCAAATTCTATTTTCACGACACATTAAGGTTTACACGATTCCTATTTTTGTAAATTTTTAAAGGCAACCCAAGTTGCAGACGAATTTTATTGTTTATATTAAATTTGTTCAATATTAATAAATAACGTGCTTCATTTGGGTTAATTTATCAAAAATATAAAGTAAATTTTGGTTTAATTTCTTTTTGAACTCTACCAGGAGACTACAGAGTTGACGTCACACAGTGACAGATTGCTTAGAACAAATAATTGAGCTAGCCGAGGTATAGTATATTAACAACGAACTACATAATTTTAAAATTCACTTCAATTCAATTAAAATTATATTTATTAACAATAAAACATAAAAAATAATAAAAACAAAACTATTACAATATATGGTTAAAAACGCACTTCCAGGCTTCCAGGGGTGTGCTCATCGCATCGAGCAATAAGACAAAAGAGGGAATGTAAAGGTAGTGGGGGTAAACATATTGATAGACAGGAAGTGCTATTTTGAGAGGCCACTTTAAACAAGGAAAGAGAATCTCTTTCCTTGTTTAAGAAATCAAATTTAGTTGGGTTATGTTATTGTTGATGTTATTGTTTATCAAAACTGTCACATGAAAGCTAGTTATTATTTTCTTTGAAGTTTTTTAACATTTTAGACTATTATCGTTATTAATTAATTAAAACTTTATTGTGTTCTAGTGTTAAAAAAAGTATTTTAAGTGTATTATGTATTAATATTATGTAATATTAATATTATGTAATATAAAATAAATAAATAGATAAATTAGAACCCCTACACCAGTGTATGATTATTGTTAAGTGTCATGAAATTTAAATTTGGCGCATTTGCATTTCCGGATATGTCCGCCATCAGAGGCCACTTTTTTGATCTCCTTTTCATAACGATTAGATTCCCTCTTTTGTCTTATTGCTCGATGGGTGTGCTGCACCATCTGGATGGATGACAGCAGAATTATTTGAACAGTGGATGATACATTTTGTCAAACATACTAATCCTACAAAGGGATCTCCCATTTTATTAATCATGGACAACCATGAGAGCCACGTTTCTTTAGCATCTATTAAATTTGCAAAAGAAAATAATATAATCTTGTTGACTTTTCCGCCACATACTAGTCATCGACTTCAGCCACTAGATAAAGCTGTATTTAGTCCTCTGAAGAAATATTACTCACATGGTTGTCAAAATTGGTTATTGAAAAATCCTGGAAAGAGGATAACAATTTACGACATAGCAGAGATTTGAGCGACACTTATCCACTTGCTTTCTGTCTTCTGTCTCAAAAATGTGGTATCAGCTTTTAAAGACACTGGGATATTTCCATCCAATGATAACATTTTTGATGACGATAATTTTCTGGTTTTAACCGTAACATACATGCCAAACATACATCAAGAAGAACAACAACCAAATAATTCAAATGTTAGCGATATACCACAAATGGACATTCAGTTCCCTTCAACATCAACTTGTCCAGATAAAATACCGGAAAAAAAATCAGAAACATCCATCGGAAATAACACCTGAAAAGAAAACTGTTTCTTATGAAGCGATGGCAACTTCCAAGGACACACCCGAAAATCGATTTATTTCCCCTGTATTACTGCAACCATACCCTAAAGCTACCTTATTGCCATTAAAAAAACAAAGGAAAAAGAAGACTACTGAAATTTTAACTGATACACCAATTTATAAAAGAATAGAAGCGGAAACAGCAGAAACAATATCAAGGCAAAGTAAAGTGAAGAGAGCTAAGACAACCTTGAAAGGAAATTGATAGTTCAAACAAGTCGAATAGAAGTATTGCAAAGAAAAATAAAAGCATACCCAGTGAAGACAGTAACATTGACATTGAATTGTCTGATGTGGATTCCGATGTTGCCTCTTTTTACAGCAATAATCCCTTTCTTAATATTATTCGACAATAATAATACAACATGTGTGCTTTATTATGTATCCAGAAAATTTCTTATTGTAATATATTTATTATATGTTTAATCATCTTGAACTCTTTTTAAACAGCCGAAAAAGCTATTGAATATAATAAATATAATGAAGTTGCCTTTATTATAGTACATAGCAAAGCATGTTGATAATTTAGAACCAGGCTATTTATCCTTACCAATACGGAATTAAGAAAGTTTGTTTCTCAAATAGTGTTCTCAAGGAACCCAAAGATAACTGTCAGAATTCCTGAGCAGACATCTATTGCAAGAACAAAGGCTTTCAATAAAGAGAACATTAGGATGTTTTTCAGTTCTATGGAGAAGTTATGGAAAAATATCAGTTTTCTCTTGAAAATATCTGCAATATAGACGTGACTGATAGCACAGTCACTACAAAGCCTCCGAAAATTCCTGCAACCAAATTAAGGAAATAAATTGGAATTATTAGCAGCGCCGAACGTGGACAAAATTATCCAGCTGTGCGTCTTATGAACGTCATTTGATTACTCGTTCCTCCCGCCTTCATTTTTCCGCGAAAACGATTTAAAGCTGAGTTAATGGATGATGCACTTTCACGCAATGTAGCATTTTGCAAAGACAAGGGCTGAATAAATACATAAACATTTGTCAAGTAGCTAAAGTACCTACTTTGTATTGCACGTTGAAGCATCGATCAAAAATAAAGTCCTATTAATTCTTGATGGACACAGTAGTCGTAAAGGATTGGAAGTCCTGAAATATAGTAAGGAAAATCGAATTATTCTATTTTGTCTTTCGTCAAGACGTGCCACATTGTTATCATCGCGTCCAACCCCTTGATGTTGACTTTTTGGCACCACTACAAACTTTTTATGATATGAAAACACAAAAGTAGATGAGTGTTAAGCCAGGACGGACTGTCACTCGCCTTCAAGTGACAAAACTTTTTAATAAGGCATATCTCAAGGCTGCGACTCCAACAAATGCAATAAGTTCTTAAAAAAACATGTGGAATACCTACATTAGTTTAATCTAGATGTTTTTGAAGACTGGGAACATTCTGCTACTTCAACAGCAGATAAGGAGCTGAAAAACATAAAAAATGTAAGCCAGCATTTTAGCAATAATCCCATTAAAACCATCTTACATCCTTTCCGAGTAATACAAACGATCAAGTTTCAATCACATTCAAACATTGCATACGCAGAGAGCAAATTGGAGAATTGTCCTCTCTTCCAAAGGCAACAATAAAAACGCAAAGAAAAGAAAACATGGATAGACAGGTATTATTAACAACGCTTCAGATAATATAGAAGAAATCAAGGAAACCAAAAAATAAATAAATATCTTTCACCAGAAAGATATTAAAACAGCAAAGCAGCCAGAATAAAAATTGATAAACTCATAAAAGAAGATAGTCTTGAAGAAGTAATGTATGAACAGAACCATAGTGATAAATCAGATGCTGCATGTCTGTACTGCAACGAACTCTATTCTCTTTCTCGTTCTAAGAATTATGGTTAAATTGCCAAAGCAACGGCTGGTATCAGTAGGAATGTGTTGATATTATTAGATCAACAAAGACTTTATTTATGATGTTTGTCAACCAGAAAAGCTTTTCTAGCTCTTTGCAATTCATGTTTTTAGTGTTTAAATGTGTTTTTTTTTGTATAAAAGAAAAACAGTCCGTAAATATAAGTTTTTTTCCTTAATTTAAAGGTACTTTAATTGAAAAATTTTAAGTAATTTTATATATGACATGAAATTTTTAAAGAGGGGCCATCATTAGAAAACAAGTACCTATGACGACCTCTATATAAGAGTATAATTATATAAAAATCCCATTTACTTTTGCTTTTCATTTTATTAGTTTTTTGTAAGTTCCTTTTAGGTCCTGTATATATCCTCATTTAGGACCTGTATTAGTCCATGTGGACGTCAGCCCAATACATCCTTCTTAGGTCCTATATAAGTCCTATTAAGTTCTGTACCTATATGTACTATGTACGTCCCCATGAACATCCCTGGGAGGTCCAGGGGACGTACTTTTTGGTAACATTACGGTCTTATTGGACGTCCCGGGGACATCCAAATTATGCAAACGGATGTCCGTGGGATGTCCGGACATTTAATGAGGTACATCCTTCGGACGTCCATGGCACGTACTTGTGCTGTCTGGGAGGTGATCTCTAGTTCCTGAATAGGTACAGATATTTTTATTATTCATGTTATGTAATCCTTTTAATAAAGTAAAGTACCGCCATTTAGGTACCTACTTATATTATCATGTGTGTGTGTGTGTGAAACTAAATAAAACATATCTGCCAATACTTAATTGGATTAGAGTGATGAAATATTTATTTTACTGTAGACATAAAGTCTAAAGAACCAACTTTAATAATGATCTCACAATTGTATAAAATGTAACGTTACACAAGAAATTAATAACATTACAAATAGCGTTATATAAACTTATTTTTAAATACCTATGTGATTCATAGCGTGACACACCAATGTTATTAGCAAATCCAAGAGTAAAATTCAAAACATCAAAACAAAATTTTCACATTTATTTCATCATCCAACTCCAGTACAAAATTCACAATTTAATTTCAAAGTTCAATATAATTTTAAATCAACCGGGTCTGTTCTTTGCTCTAATTGGTCGTTCCTGACAAAACACACAAATATCGACCAATAGAAAATCACCACATATACTGCTGGTGCGATGTCAACAGGGATACAAAGGTCGATAATTACAATAAAATATTTGATTCAGTATAGAGAATAGAGTGAAACTGTGAAGATAAAAGTAAATGGTGATCGTTATATAAATAAAATACAGTAAATTAGTAAATATTAAATAATAATAAAGTGTAGAATAACAGTGTTTACTTTTAATAAAAGAAGTTGGAATTTTAGGAAGTACATATTAACAATATATTCTTTGGTATTAATCAGAAAACAATGACGACTACAGTGTCATCGATATTGAAATTTTTGGAAAACGCAGATAAAAATTTTGAAATGGATACAGATTCAGACATTCCAAAAACTAAAAAGAGAAAATTGGATCATTTGACATGGGAAGAAAAATTACAAAGGAAGTAAGTATTGCATCATACTCATTTTGTATCCTTGTCTGTAGTTCACCAATATGTTTACTACATGAATTGCTCAAAAATAATAGTTTAAAATGATCCTTGACCTGCCCTACTACAAATTAATGATTGCATTTTTAGATACATATGTAAATTGCCATTTGTTTTTCTATATACACCATTTTTATTAATTATGAAATTATATGGCCAACATATTTTCAGGAAATTAAAAAATCGTGTGGCAGCCCAAACTTCTCGAGATAGGAAAAAGGCCAAGATGGAACAGATGGAGCAGGCTCTCCAGCAGCTCTTTGTGAAAAACGAGTCACTATTAGTTGAATGTAAAAACCTCAAGCTTGCCAACCAGAAGCTCCAACAAGAAAACACAGAACTGTACAATCGTTTGCAGGCCCCTTGTCTGTCATGTGCCCAAGCTCAAAACCGTTCTGTCGGGTGTGAGTCCCTAAATGGATCCACAGAGTCCCTCCTTCTACCGAAAGGAAGAGTCACACACCCAGCAGCGGCTTTGAGCAAGCAACAGACAATGGTCTTGTTGAAAATCGTACTGACCTGCCTTCTTTACCGGACCTCCTTGATGAACTCGAGGCAGACGTCGATCTTAACTCGTTGGAACAACTCACTCAGAGCCTCCTTGAAGATATCGCCAGAGACTTGGAAGCTACTGCTCAGAAAACAAGTACTGAAGTAAGTACTACTTGTCAGCATTTTTTTTTTCAGTTTGAAATTATATAATTTTAGTGACTATACATGTACCATAAAAAACTATTTTTACAGCTTAATTCTGGTTATAAATTTATTACAACCAAAAAAGCATCCAACTTTATAACTTCTAAGGTTCTGAAACTGTTTTCCGATGGCATGTTTACTTGATATTATCTTGAAATTTTTACAATTGATTGTAATGAATATTAAATTTCATATTTGTTTATGATTGTTTGTTTATGTTGATGATTGCCAATCTTCGTCACAGGCACATAAAGAAGATACATATATTCTTATAATTTTTGTTAGATATATCAAATGGACTATATTCACTATCATTATTTCCCAATTTTGATATACTCAATATTTCATGTAAAAGTCTATAAATACCTTCATTTGAGAGGTTATAAAGAAGGAAAACTAGAGTACCTAGTGGTAACTTGACTGAAATAATTACAATTACAGTAGTGTCGAAATGTTTAGATAGAAAATGACTAATTCATGTTTTTTATGGTATTCTTTGTAAATATTCTTTATTGACTGCTTTTTAACACTAATATAGTTCACACCATTGATATAAAATTAAGAACAGAAAAAAAATGGTTTCAATTAAATACATAATAATCATTATTAGACAAAGATAAAACTGGTTTTCTGGGATTATAGGCTGTGGTTTGGATATATTTCTTTCTGATGTTTCTAGTTGACTTTGCCTTAAATATCTGCTACAGTTGCATATGTATTTCCTTAAATTATATGAGATTTTGTAAAACACTGTCTTAGGACTGTTATATGACGCTAATGTCATGAACGCTAGCACGCTGCGTAGTTCGCCCAACCGGACGTACCATGGAGTAAATTATATGAACGGCAATGTTGTTCATATTATAATTTACATATATGACATGTATGAAGAGTCTATGTAAGATTTATAAATCCATAAGAAAAATGAAATCAAAATTTTTATTCTGGAATTTTTTATTAGAGATACAAGGCGAGAGAGATACAAGTATCATACTAGAGAGAGATAAAAGTATCAAATTTATAGAATCTGTAGACTTAACTAATATTTTTTAACTACTCTCCTTAAAAATGTTTTTACCAGTAAAAGATATTAAATAGTAATTTACTTGGACCCTTTATCCGCAAGAAATATGCATAAGATACATATATTTTCGTTACATCCTGTTAATGTGTTACTATCCTATTTTCATGTTATATAACTATCGATTTTTACAATTTCTGGTATAAAAATGCCTATATACTTCATCCATAAAGTTACTGTTGTTTAAAATTGTCAATTTCTCTTGAGTCAAAGGATATTTTTCATCTCAAGAACTGGTAAACCAAACTCATGAGTTTTTTTTATTTTCAAAAATATTTTATAATGTAGCTACTTTTAAAAAACTCACATGATCAATAATTGTTTCTTCTGTTGAAGTCTTGCCTATACTAACATTTACTTTTTCCTATTGTATTTCTGATCAGTCTAATTAATTTTAAATAATGTTGCAATTTGCTTTGACTTTTTGTATTAACCATGCAGTTTCACAGTGAGAAGAATTGTCAAGTTTTAGACTGTGGTTGTCACATTTTCAGCCATTCTATTTCTTTCTTGTGTCACTTTTTTTAAGTTTAAATTTGCAGTCTTAATTTAATATTGGTTTGATGTAGTTCTTAGATATATGCTGTCTATGGTATTATTTAAAAATGTTTATAAATGTTCACTATATGGCCGGGAATGCCTGGTACTGGCACAGTGGCATACCAGTAACCAGTAAGTACCAGCTACTGTAGCCAAACTGGAAAGTTTGAATGTTTACTGTCATGACAATTTCTGGCATGCTAGCTAATCACAAGCAATTTGATTTTTAGTGCCAGTAGTGTACCGTTTCATGCAATATGCATGTGTGGAGAGTGGCACAAGCGTGTGTGAACGCACATGACACTACTGGCAGGTATGTCAGTAGAAACATTTTCTTTTTTTGAGTATCGTTTAATTTTCATTATTAAATTTCTAACTATCCGTGGCCATGAGCAATATGTGTTTGTTTAATTTGCTCCGAATACTTTCAATTTTTGTTTTAAGAAATTCAAAAACTTAAAAACTGACTTTTCAGTACTTTTCACATGGAAACCATTCTGTTTACTGATATGAGTAATATTTACAATACAGGTGCTTTTTTGTGTTACCAGTACACAAATGCACGCTGCTGGCATGCCACTTACTCACAATTGTGTTTTGTGCATACCAGTTACTGGCTTATACCACCAACTGATGTGTAATATTTACAAATGCTTTTTTGTGTTAACAGTACACAAATGCAAGCATGCCACTTACTCACAATTGTGTTTTGTGCATACCAGCAACTGGTATCCAAGTTACTTTCCCATTTTACAGGCATGTCTATCCCAGTATATTAAAAGTCTTTGTTTAATCCATAAAACAGACAAATAGCTATTAAGTAATGCAGGCTGTTGCAGTCAGTTTTCGTAATGATCTATTGTTTTTGAGTTTTATAAGCTAAGAATTATTTCTCCTTGATGTTTTGTCTTCAACTGCTGCATACATTATCAGCATATACAAGTTTTTTTAACTTTCTAAGTTCAAATTTTTAGATGTTTTAAGTAGAACCCTTTAACACTCAAATCACCACTCTAAACAAGCCATAAAAACCCTAGTGCTATCTGAATATGTGAAAAAAATATATTTGGGGAAAGAACTGAAATATCTAAGCTGAAAAAGCGTTCTGATAGAAGGGATATGCTCGAAGAGATATGAAACGATTTATTTGTCCTAATAAGTCAACTGAAATATCGACTAATAATGGAATCAAAAAGTAAAGCTATCTCACCATTTATAATAAAATATGTGTGAGCAAAACATGACATTAATTCTTGTAGTTGTATTTCAGTCAACATTGAAACAACAAAACAGTAATACTGAATTAGAGGAACATTCGCCTTGGTCACTATGACAGATCAGTCATGGCAGAACATAGCATCATACAAGGCCACCACTAAATTATATTTAAAGAAACACATGTGCATAGCAAAACGTTTTATTAACCCTCTTTAAGTTTAAGTGTGCATCTAAATTGATTGTGGATCAAAATTACAACTTCTCCTCAAATGCACCGAAAATTCAAGTACAAACTGATAGCTTGAGGATAAACAAAGGCTATCAATAGCATAGATATTGGAAGAGTATGATAAAATCTATGTCATTCTGATATAAACCCTGGAAACATTTGTCTCAAGACAAATAGTTCTTGATTTATATCTAGCTATCATTGTTACTTATCGACTTTATTGACTTCAAGGTGTCTAAGCTATTTCTAAATCCAATTTATTATTGATTTATATCTTCTAATTCTTTTTTTATATTATATCTATAATTTTAAGGAAGCTTTTTGTGGGCTTCATGATGCCACTTACTGGCAATTTTAAATATATTATAAATAAATTATGAACGATTCTAAGAAAATCTTGTAGCATTGTTCTGAAATTGATATGTCTGGATATTGATACATCGAAATAAACTTTATGAAAGAACATAAGTATAAAAAAATTTATGGCTCTCATACTTAGATTAAAATAATTTTTTGAACTCTGGTTCTAGATCTAATATTTAAGTAAAACAATAATTTTAACATCCTATATATTATATAAGGTAATCAATTAAAATTTCATTTCTTTCTAGATACTTTGATGAGTTGATTTTGAAAATCTTTTGTGTGATAAGGTGATTTATAAAATGGTTTATATATTTTTTCTCTACAAAAAGTATATTTACATATAAAGCAAAATATGTGTTTCTGTCTAAGTAATACTGCACAGCACAAATTGTACATAAATCAATAGAGTAAAATAATACAAGAAATATTTAAAAAATGTATCTAAAACTATTATCGGCATCACTACATCCTGCATTCTTTATCCTAATTATGCATTTGATTAAAAAAATCAAAGAATATACAACCGATTTCTTTTTCTTCTAACCATTTAATAAAATTACTTGGCAACCTCATTCCGGAAAACATTTTTGGGTGTCTCTCTAATAAATGTGAATGTTCTGCATCATCAAATCTCTTGGCACATACGAATTTTTAATCATGAAATAAACGTGACTTATTCAAAGTTAAATCTCTTAAGTTTAAGTTACACTTCGCTTTTTGATGATCTGGTTTCTGGTGGACCTCATTCCTCAGGCATGACCTCATGGTATTCACACGGTTCAGATCTCGCATCATCTTCTAAAGACATCATTCAGGATTAGATTCAGGAAAATGAGCAAATAAAACATAAGCTTAAAGATGACAGTGAAGAATAATTATTGTTCAATGTGATAATTATTTCTCAAACAGTACATCGTTTTTAGCAATTTTATTGGATGCCTTTATATAAATTTAAAAATTTATAACTTATAACATACTTGAAACGTTTTAGTCTAAATTGTATGAATGTGGTTTTTTTACTTTACATCATACTTCTAACATTGAGCCATTACTCATAAAAAGGTTCTAAAAACTTGCTTACCTTACTCTTTCTAAACTTTCTCTAGCTTCTACCAGTCGTATAAGTTCTTTGAAGCCTTTCCTGTCCATTGTTTCGACCACTGTTGGACATAGGCCTCTTCCATATGCTTTCATTGATTTTTACTCCTGGCAATTCTCATCCACTGCTTACCCGCGACTTGTTTATATCATCTGCCCACCTCTTCTGTGGTCTGCCTACTCCTCGCCTGTTCTCTCGTAGTCTCCAGTTTGTTAATCTCTGTGTCCATTTTTCGGGATTATCTCAGGCAACATGTCCGGTCCATTGCCACTTGAAACTTGCTATACGTTCTGCGACATCACTAATCTTTGTTCTTTCCCGAATGTCGATATTTCGAATCATGTCTCCCAAACTAATCCCTAACATGGCCCTCTCCATCGCTCTTTGGGTTGTACTGAGCTGCTCTAAGGTTTTCTTTGTAAAGG